TGTTAGCATTCCAGTGATGCTCTCTTGATTGAATTATAAATTGATTCAGCTTTTCTGGGTTGGTAATGTGGTAGGTAATACATACAAACTTAAAATGTGTGTAGTCTTCAGCACTGCAGTTTCATTTTCAGGAACTTATCCCAGAGATAATTAGAAAAGATATCTACCTAATGATTATGTGGGTCAGGGTCCAGTCAGAGAAACAGAAACCATATCAGGTATTTTAAACATAAATAAATTAATATATATGTTTGAAGGATGAAAGAGCAACAGGTTGCTTTGGTAACCCAGAATTTATGAATTCCTGGAAGCAGCAACCACCCTTAGGGCTGGAGGAACCACTGAGAAGTGGTGTTAAGGACTGTCCATTGGATGGAAGAGCCCTGTCAATATTGCCCAGCCAGCTGACCAGAATGCCTAAAGAAGCTCTGGGGTCTCTTATTGCAAGAACCTAACAGGAAGCCAGCTCTTGAGGGAGTCTAGAAAGTGTAATTTCAGATTTATATCTCCAGGATCTGCTCAGAGCAGATTATGGCAGGCGTAAAGCTCAGAAACAATATAAATAACTAGCATAAGGATGTTCATAGTTTTGTTGTTAAGATGAAAAAAAAAAAATCTAAAACATCTAAATGCTGATCAGTAGGAGATTGGTTAGAGTAGTTGTGGTATAGCTATCCACTAAAGAGCCATATGACCATTAAAATTATTGTTTAGCCATACTTGACATAGAAGGTTCTCTCCAGCATTGTTGGTGAAAAAGTGTTTCCAAATACTATATATTTTGTATCCTCATTTACTTAATATATGTATGCATATGTAGAGAAATTTTAGACCTATATTCACCAAAATGTTAACAGTAATTATTTCAGGGTAGTGGAATTTTGAGTTTTTTCTTCAGTGGTTTTTAAATGTTTTTCAGTTTTGTTTGCATTTTCTACATGTGTATGATTATCATCGGGGGAAAAAACCTTGAATTGGAAAATCAATATAACAAGGGAATAAAGTATTTCTTTTAATAGGAACTTATTAATAGAAAAAGCAATCAGAAGATAGTTGTTTCATTTACATTTCACTAACATCTCAGACTCTGCCTAGTACTTCAGAATTCTTGAAAGTGTTTTTTCTTTGTTTGTCTGTTGTTTTGGTTTATTTCTGGTTTCTGTTTAAAGGGGTATGCAAAACAGTGGATGAGCTTAAAATTTCTCATTCTGTCTTTAAAAATTCTAATCAGAATTGCTTTTTACTTGTGTGTGACCTGTAATTTTCTCTTGATTACTAAGAAAAGGGATTATGGATGTTTGTATTGGCAAGTCTGATCTATGAGAAGACATAACCTTATCCAGGGAGTTTAGTTACTGAAGTCACTAGAAGATAATTTTTCATTTCACAAAGAAGCCATAAACCATAGACTAAAAGGGTCATTTGGTGAGACTCTTATTTTTTATACATTTTATTACTGAAATTTTCAAACATACAAGGAAGTACCTAGAATATTATAATGAACTCCCATATATCCAATAACTAGCTTATGTATGAATAACTTAAACAGCTGCTTTTGTTTAATTTATTATTCTGCTTACTCCCCATTCCCCTTATATTTGAAAGCAATGCCAGACTATATATACCATTTCATCTGTACATCTGAGTTTCTCTAAAAGATAAGAACTCTTAAAAAAAATAAGCATAATGTCTTTATCACATAGTTGACATTAATTGTTTAATGTTAATAATATCCAATTTTCTCAAAAATTAATTTTTTAGTAGCTTTTTTTTTTCAGGATCCACATTGTTATTTGTTGATAAATCTCTTAGAGTGCCTTGTTTCCTGTAGGCTCCCCCTCCAATTTTCTTTTTCTCTTTGTATTTGATAAAGAAACCAGGTTTCTTTTGCAGAGTTTCACATAGACTGATTTTTGCTAATTGTATGCCTTTGGCATATTTTAATGGGTTCCTTATATTTTCTGTAAAGTGATAGTTGAATGCAGAGACCTGGTTGGATTCCAGTTCAACTTTTTTGTTGTTACAGGACCACTTTATAGATGGTGGTATGTTCCATCAGGAGGCACATGGTATCTGGTTATTTCTCTTCTTATGATAGTTAGAAACTGATGATACTTAGTAATTACTGGTGATATTCTGTCATTCTTCACTTATTCGCTGAATACTTTTATAAAGAGGAACTTCCTATCTATTCTTTGGTTCCCCAGTGTGTTGTTTTTTTGTGTGTGTTATAGAACAGTGTTCAAAATAGTGAGTTTACTAGCATCCTCCAAATGTGACCAGTTAAATTGTTATCTTTTTAAAATATCATGCTCAGATTTGTTTGTATACATACATTTACCATTTCTGTCAGTCTTCATTTTTTAGATACCCGTATTTTCATCTGGTATCATTTTCTTCTTGAATAACTTTATTATTTCTTATTGTATAGTTCTCCTTGTAAGTAATAATCTCAGCTTTTCTTTGTCTGAAAAAAATCTTTATTTTGCCTTCATTCTTGAAAGGTATTTTTTTCTCAGAATAGAATTCTAGACTGACAGTTATTTTCATTTAGTACCTAAAAGATGTCACTCCATTATTTTCTGGACTTGCATAGTTTTTGATGAAAAGTGTTCCTCTGTATGTATTGTTTCTCTGTTATGTAATGTGTATTTTTTTTGGGGGGACAGTTTTTAAGATTTTTATCTTTATCGCTGTTTTTACCAAATTGATAATGGCATGTCTTGGAATGGTTTACTTTGTGTTTCTTCTGCTTGAGGCTTATTGAGATTTTGGGGACTGTGGGTCTATTTCCATCAGATTTAGAAAAATTGTGGCTGATATTTCTTCAAATATTTTTTTCTGTTCTCCCCTCCTCACCTCTTTGTTTTCTGGGACTCTGGTTTTCTGTATTTTTGACTACTTACCATTGTCTTACAGGTCACTGATGCTCTGTTCTTACTTTTTTTCTCTGTCTTTTTTTTGTTTTGTTTTGTTTTGTTTTATTTTACATAGTGTCTGTTGCTATGTCTTAAAGTTCACCGATGTTTTCTTCTGTAACAAAAAATCTACTTTTGATCCTATTAGTATGTTTTTCATTGCAGGCTTTGTATTTTTCATATTTAGTAGTTCCATTTAGTTTTTTTTAAAGTATTTCATTTCTGTCCTCATCATGTTCATGTTTTCTTCTTGGGCATATGGAGCATATTTATAACTGCTGTTTTAGTGTCTTTGTTAATTTTGTCACCTGTGTCACTTCTGGACCTATTTCTGTTGGTGAATTTTTTTCCTGGTTATGTATTACAAGGTTCTTTCTACTGTGGCTGGTGGAAACACGAATCACTAGCAGACTTGTGCGTCTAGGGAATTTTTTGGCTTACTGCTTTCTAGTGTTCTTTTCCTGGTCTCGGGTAGTTTTTTTCTCATGCATGGCAAAACTGATCATTATTCAGCCAAAGACTTGAGACACCTCTCTGTGGATCTCCAGAATGCAAGCTCTCTTGCTGTCTTTGTAGCTCCCTCCTCTGTGGAACTCTGCCCTAGAAATTAAAGCTGCCTCAACTCCCATCTTGGTCTCCCTCAACTCCGTGCGACCACCAGGCTCTAATTGGGTTACTTCTCCTTACATGGCAGTCTGGAGCTTTGCATGCAGTAAGTGGGGATAGATGTAGGACTCTTCTAGTGTGTTTCCCATCTTTTAGGGATTATGGTCATGTGCTGCCTGTTGCCCAGTGTTTAAACCTTTAACATGTTTGTCTGTTTTCTGCTTGCTTAAGGTAGGAGAGGATGTCCCATCTCAGATATACTGTCATCATGTAAAGCAGAAGTCTTCTCAGTATAGTTTCAATTCATACATTTTTTTTGTAAATTAATGAAAGTAAACATCTTTTCACACGTTACAGGGTAATTTCTATTTTTTTTTTTATGACCAACCCATTTGTCCATGATGTTGCTGGTCATTCTGTATTTGGATAAAGTCTTTACCCTTTCTTTATGAAACGAAATGCAGAATTTCCCCTCAATTTGTCACTTGTCTTTTTATTATATTTTGCTGTTGGTGTCTTTGTGATACTCAGTTATTATTGTGATTAATTACTGTATATCTGAATTCTTAGTACTGGAACACTGGGTTGGTATTGGGCAAGAAGGTGGATTCAGAGGTTGCTTACACTGTGAGATGTTTGAATAAATAGTTGAGCCAAGAGATCCTGCTGTATTCAGTATTCATTCTAAGTTTTTGTGTAGTGTAATAATACCATACCTGAATGTTCTTCCAGGTAGCTACATGACTCACTCCTTACTTCCCTCAGAACTCTGCTCAAGTGTTACTTTATCTGAAAGGTCTTCTGTAACCACCTTCTTTCAAATTGTAATACTCACACACCACTCCCCACTCCCTATCCTGTCCTCTTTTTCTTTTCCTTTTTTTCCTCCACAACAGTTACCACAATTTGACATAACACATATTTTGCTAATTTATGTATTATCATTTGTCTTGTTCCTAATATGCTAGTAGCGTGAAGGCAAGCATTGGAACCTTTAATAGTGCCTCAGACCTAGTAAACACTTAATTTTTATAGGCTTTATAATAAGATTTCCGTTTATGTAGGTTGTGCTGGTATGAAGTGAAAGATGAATCAGAGCGGGGAGAGACTTGAAAAACAGTTTAGGTCCCATTATAGTGGTCTTATGTATAAGGTGGCAGCAGCTTAGCTGGAGTGATAGCAGTGAGAATAAAAAAGAAAAGACTAATGGGATTGACATTAAGAAGAAATGGGTTACCATCCATGTTTCTGTTTAGAATTGTTAAGTAAAAAGGAGGGAAAAAAACCCTTGTATTTGGATTATATTTTTAATGTAGCTGTTTATGAAGCAAATTAGAGACCACTGAAAATGAGTTCAGGTAGATTTTTTTTGTTCTTATGAAACATTATCTAAAAAAATACAAATGGTCAAGTATCTAGTGGAGTCTTGCTGATTTTTCTGGTTTATTGTTTTTCTTTCTTTCTTTTTTTTTTTAGAGCTTTGCTTCCTGTTTTACATCACAAATCTAAAAAAGGACCCCCCCGCCAAGCCAAATATGCCATTCATTGTATCCATGCGATATTTTCTAGTAAAGAGACCCAGTTTGCACAGATATTTGAGGTAAAAAGAAAAAAAATTGTTTGTTTCATATGTTATAGTTAAAAAACACATATTAATGATTTTATAGAATGTTCACATTTGGAGCTGTATCATTTTATAGTATGTTTTCAGAATTTGAATCAGTATAATCAATTTTGATGAGTGGTTAAAATATGAAAATATCTGATTATTCAGATGTTTAGTACTAACAAGTTCAGAAATCAAACAATTGTATAATATTTTTTGACATTATACATTTAGGGTTAGGAAACTTTTTTGGTAATAAGCAATTACATATAAAATCGTACTTATTGATAATAGGTAATAGATGATTCTGTCAGTTTACAGGTTTGAAAATTAGAGTTCTGTTTATGAGATACTGCTGAAGTATGTGGAATTTTGTCAGTACTAATTGGTATAGTAATATAATTGGTATATAAAACAAACAAATTTATACTTATATAATCACTGACCTAATTTTATGTCAGATTAAATTGTGTTTTTTAAATATATATTTCATATTATTTTTTCTACCCTTTAAGTTACTATTACTCTTCCTAAGCATTGCATTTTATTTTAATATACTGTAATCTGGGGCTATCTTTAGTATTCTTATTAGATACTTAGCATTTTTACATAAAATCCAAACTTGTAATTTTAGTTCAGGAGCCTTGAGTGAAATCAAAACAGTTCGGAAATTACGCTGAAGCTACTGTTTTAGAAACATTTATGCTAACTTTTTCATCTTTTCATGTATTATGCTAAAGACCTGAACAAGGAAGAAAAGTAGTTGTCTTTATTGTATATCCTCTTGCTGTATATAGCAAATAATTTATTTTAAATTTTGTGCATTTTGGGGGGAAGGTATTTTCTGTGGTCTGTTTTTGTATATCAGAATGACTTTAATGAATTCATGTTGATTTAGAAAGCTTTTGTTTTTCTTGATTAATCTCCTTTCAGTGGTGATAAGGAGCAGGATAATGCTGATAATAACTTGAATTTGTAGGGTACTTTTATTTTCATTTTGATATTATATATCTGATATTTTATCTTTACCATAACCTAATCTGTAACCCTTCTGCTATAATGTATAGGTTTGCTAGCTTTCTGAGAAAAGGTTTCATAGAGCTGTCTTGTCTGGCCTTCATGAGATTGCTATTCATCCAGGGTCTGACTATTAATTTTGCTTTTCCAGAAATGACTTTATTATCTTCTTGTGTAAAATTGTCACACTCATTATTGAAAAAAACTACATGGTCATATTTTTATTTATAATGTAAACAAGGTGGTATTTGTGTACAATGGAAGTATTGAGGGAAGTCATCAAGAATAGCAAGATGCAAACTCATTTAAATATACTTTTGATTAAAAGAAACCTCACATTACTCTAATACGTTGGGAAAGAACAGTTTAGTATTGTTTTTTGAGCCTAGAATTTTTGGTGTTCAGTATGGGAGGACAGCATCGACTCTATTAAAAGTGTTACTAAAATTTTTAATAATATATTTACTTGCTTCCAAATCAAAAGACACAAAACAAATCCAAATAGTAAAATAGTAAGTTTTCTCCTCCACCTCAGCCCTGTGTACCTAGCCACCCAGTTCTCATTCTCAGAGGTAACCAATGTTACCAGTTTCTAAGATACTTTTCTGGAGAGTATTTATTCACATACAAGTAACATAATACACATACATATGTGCGCACACACAATCAAATACATACATTTTGTCCCCTTCCCTTTCTGCTTATGACAGTGATAATATACTATAGTCACTCTTCTGATTTCTCTATTTTAAAAATTTAACATTACATTTTAGATATTATTCTATATGGGCATACGAAGAGTCTCATTCTTTTGTCATGGCAAAATGTGCGTTGATGATTGGGTTTTCTATCAGAATAATAAAAATAATTTCATTAGTTGCGGTACTTAATATTTGATGTTATAAAAATCCACACAAATGCATGTGACTCTGTATAATAAAAGCTTATTTCTGGCTCCTGAAAAAAAGTCCAGTTGGGTGTTTAGATTGCATTCTAATCAGTGGTTTAGTCCCATAGACTTTTTTTGACAAGTAGCTTCTCTTTAAGTCCCACTGCATCCTTGGTATTAAGCCTGCCAGTGAGTAAAGAGAGAGAATATGGAGAAGATACACTTCTCATACTTGCCTCAATGTGGGCATGGCATACCTCACTTTTACCCCCAGTCTGTTAACCAGAGCTTATTCACATATTCTCATCTAGCTGCAGAGGACGCTGCATGTATAGCCATCCTTTTGCCCAGGAAGTAGAACAAAAGTGGATATTGCTGAGCCCTATCAGTCTCCCATATTCATGTAATGTGGTCATAAAATATACATAATATGATTCTCCATGCTGAAATTTTTTTTTTTTTTACCTACTTCTAAGATACAACTTGGGCAAAACCTGACAATATTTAAATGCCTTTTAGACTTAAATAACCTATAGAAATTTAAATGTAAGCTTAAGCTACTACTTAACACCATGTATATGTCTTGAAACCGCTCTAATTTTTTTTGTTATTTGAACATGAAATATGTGAATAGTTTATTTCCATATTTATAGAGTTGAATGTGTTTTCTTTTCTCATTTTTAGCCTCTGCATAAGAGCCTAGATCCAAGCAACCTGGAACATCTCATAACACCGTTGGTTACTATTGGGCATATTGCTCTCCTTGCACCTGATCAATTTGCTGCTCCTTTGAAGTCCTTGGTAGCTACTTTCATTGTGAAAGATCTTCTCATGAATGATCGGGTAATTGATATTTTTTTGACCTGTGTTCTTAGCGTTATCTTCTCAAATTTTATTCAACAAAGAGAGAAGTGAAATGATGCAAATAACACTTCCATTTGACTGCCTTCTTTTAGGTTTCCTATCTTTTTTAACATGCTGTCACCTCCAGTAGAACAACATTGAAACATCTCTTTAGTTGAGCATAGGCATGTAGCCTGCAATGCATTCCTTGATAAATACAAAATATCATTTGGTTCTTTTTTATCTTTACAGTAGGTTAATTTTTTATAATAACATCTATTTTAAAAAATGTGAAGACTGACAGGCTAGTTCACAGTATGGTTGTCATGACAGTAGTTGTTTCTTTCTCTTCATGTAGTGCAGAATTAAAAGAGCACTGGGAGAAAACATTAGGAAAGAAATAGTGATTTTGTCTGTCTGTCTTCCATTTGTCTTTGGAGCAGTGCTTGTTTGGGTGTGGGAGAACTGATGCCGTACAGTCACATGGAGTTTTATGTATGTGTGTGCATATTTATGTGTACACACACACGCAGATGTGCCTGTGCAGACACATATGTAACCATCAGTTTTGTGTCTATAGTGTGCTCAGCACTGTACTGGGTTCTTTGGAGAATTAAAAAAAGTATAAGATAGTTTCTCCTCTTAAAATACAGTTACAGTTCTTGCAATGTATAGCTATATTACTACATGTTTCATATCTGTCATTCTTAATATGCTTTAATACTATTAATACTCTTAAACAAATTTGTTATGGAAAAATACTTTGTGGAGATTATAGTCAAGATAATCGTATGTATTAAATCTCTAATGATTTGTGACTGTTTAACTTTAGTTGACTAGAGCCCTGTAATTTGAAGACAAGTGGCTCCTGTGTTAATTACCATTGTCTCTGGCTGTGTTCTTTAGCTGTGTCTCTCAGTTTTCTTCCCCATAAGTACAGTATTTCATATGTTCTTTAAGTCATGTGTGTTAATCATGTGTTTAAAGTTTTCTGAATCCTTACTGTGTTTTGTTTTCTTTAATGAAAAAATTTTGTTGAGATAAAATGTATCAGAAAAGTGTACACTTCTTAAGGGTATGGTTCCTTGAGTTATCACAAAGCTAACATTTTTGACCAACTGATAATCCAGGTAAAGAAATAGAATATTACCAGCCCCCAAAAGCTCCTGTGTCTTTTTCTTATTATTATCCCCTCCATTCTCCCTGAAGATAACTATTATCCTGACTTCTAACACCAAAGATTAGTTTTACCTATTTTTGAACTTTTATAAATGGAATCATATAGAGTAAATTTTTTATGTCTGGCTTCCTTCACTCAGTATTACATTTGTGAGATAAACCCATCCTGTTGTATATTAGTGGTTTGTTCATTTTTGTTGCTATAGAGTATTCCATTGTTTATATATACCATGAATCTGTTCTCTTGCTAGACATTAGGTTATTTCCAATATTAAATGCATACAGTTGTTACAAATACTCTTTTACATATCATTTTGTGCACTAATGTATGCATTTCTGTTGTAGTGTAATGCTGTATCTTAGAGTATGTATAAGTTGTTTTATTTTTTTTTAAAGATTTATTTATTTATTTTAGAGAGAGAGAGAGAAAGCATGCATCCATGCACGAGTCAGGGAAGCGGGGAGGAGGGGAGGGAGATGGAGAGAATCTCAAGCAGACTCCCTGCTGATTGAGAAGCCCAATACAGGGCTCAGTCTCACAACCCTGAGATCATGACCTGAGCCAATACCAAAGTCGGACAAGTCAACCAACTGAGCCACCCAGGGACCTCTGTATAAGTTGTTTTAGTACGTTTTGCCAAATTGTTTTTCTTTCTTTCTTTTTTTTTTTTTGCCAAATTGTTTTTCAAAGTGATTATACCAATTAACATTCTTATATGTGCTGAATGAGAGTTCTAGTTGTACCATTTCCTTGACTGTACTAGATATGCCAATCTTTAACATTTTAGCTATTATGTGAATGTGTAATGAATAGTATGCCCTTAGGCACTTTTTCATATATGTATTGGTATTTTGGCTCTCCTCTTTTATTAAGTGTCTGCTCAAGCCTCTTCCACATTTTTCTATTAAATTGTCAGTCTCTTTTATTCACTCTTAAGATTTCCTTATGTATCCTGTTGGCAGTATGTTTAGCAGATACCTTTTCCCACTTTGTAACTTGCTCTCTCACTCTCTTAGTGGAGTTTTTTGATGAACGGAAGTTCTTAATTTGGGCGCCTGGGTGGCTTAGTTCGTTAAGCGGTCTGCCTTCGGCTCAGGTCATGATCTCAGGGTCCTGGGAGTGAGTTCCGCATCCAGCTCCCTGCTCGTCATGGAGCCGGCTTCTCACTCTGCCTCTGCCCCTCCCCCTCGCTGCTTGTGTGCTATCAAATAAATAAAATCTTTAAAAAAAACTTTAAAAAAAGTTCTTAATTTTAACAAAGCCCGTTATTTTCTTTTTAGTTAGTACTTGTCCTTTTTGTCTACCCCAAGGTTGTGAAAATAGTCCCTGTATTGTTTTCTAGAAGTATGGTAATATACAAGCCTCTAACCACACGTAGCTGTTTAAGTTTAAACTAAATATAATTGTAAATGTATTCACACATTTCAAGTGCTCACTAGCCACATATTGCTAGTGTTGGACAGCACAGAACATTTCCAGCATCTCAGAGTTCTGTTAGACAGTGTTGCTCCAGAAGCTTTATTTATTTAACTTTCACATTTAGCTACATAATCTATTTAGAATTGATTTTTATATGTGGTATGTGATAAATGTCAAGATTCATTGTTTTATTTCCATCTGACCCTGCACCATTTATTGAAAAGACTGTCTTCCCTGCTGCATTTTTTTTTAATTGAGGTGAAATTCACATAACATAAAGTGGTTAATTTTAGTCACATTTTAGTACATTCACTACCACCTCTGTCTATTTCCAGATCATTTTCATTAAGCAGTCATACCTCATTTCCCCCAGCCCTGGGCAACCACCAATCTCCTGTTTGTCTTAATGGGTTTAACTATTCTGAATGTTTTTTATAAATGGAATCATACAATATGTGACTTTTTGTGTCATTCTTCTGTCACTTAGCGTAATGTTTTTGAGGTTCATCCACATTGTAATATGTATCAGTACTTCATTCCGTTTTATGGCTGAATAATATTCTGTTGTATATATTTATCACAATTTGTTTATCCATTCATTCATTGATGAGCATTTAGGTTGTTTCCACCTTTTGAATACTGTGAAAAGTGCTGCTATGAATTTTGTGTTTGAGTATTTGTTTGAATACCTGTGTTTAGTTCTTTAGATATATTCCTAGGTATATACCTTTGCTGGATTATATGGTAATTCTGTGTTTAACTTTTTGAGGAACTGACAAATTGTGTTCCACAGAGGCTACACCATTTTACCTTCCTACCAGTAGTGTATGAAAGTTCCAATTTCTCCTCATCCTCGCCAACTTATTATTTTCTGTTAATTTGATTATAGCCATCCTGGTGAGTGTGAAGTGGTATCTCCTTTTGGTTTTGATTTGCATTTCTCTAATGATGTTGAGCATCTTTTGATGTACTTATTAGCCATTTGTGTATCTTTTTTGGAGCAAAGACTATACAAGTCCTTTGCTCATTTTTTAGGTTGTATTTTTTTTTGAGCGTTAATTGTTCTTTATATATTCTAGATACAAGTGTCTTGTCAGACACATGGTTTGCATTTATTTCTTCCATTCTGTAGGTTGTCTTTTAAGTTGTCCTTTAATTTTTTTTATTGAGCTAAATTGACATATAACAGGGCGCCTGGGTGGCTCAGTTGGTTAAGCGACTGCCTTCGGCTCAGGTCATGATCCTGGAGTCCCGGGATCGAGTCCCATATCGGGCTCCTTGCTCAGCAGGGGGTCTGCTTCTCCCTCTGACCCTCCCCCCTCTCATGTGCTTGCTCTCTCTCATTCTCTCTCTCTCAAATAAATAAATAAATAAATAATTGACATATAACATTTTTTTTTTAAGTTTTTTTTTTTTTAAAAGCTTTTATTCATTTACCTGTCACAGGGAGAGAGAGAGAGAGAGAGAGAGCGTGTGCACAAGCAGGGGGAGCTGCAGGCAGAGGGGGAAGCAGGCTACCTGCAGAGCAAGGAGCCCCATGCGGGACTCGATCCCAGGATTCTGGGATCATGACCTGAGCCGAAGGCAGATGCCTGACTGACTGATCCACCCAGGCATCCCATAACATTATATTATTTTGATGTGTATAACATAATGATTCAATATTTTATATATTGTGAAACGATCACCACAATAAGCCTAGTTAGTATCCATCCCACACAGTTACAAATTTTTTTTCCTGTGAAAAATCTAATTTAAAGATTTACTGTCTTAGCAACTTATCAAATACACAATAACTGTAGTCACCATGCTGTACATTACATTCCATGACTTATTTATTTCATAACTGGAATTTTGTACCTTTGACCCCATTCAGCCATTTTGCCCACCTACCCCTGCCTCTGGGCCCTACCAGCCTATTCCATGGATCTTTGATACTAGCCAGTCTGATAGGTGTGAGGTTATATCTCATTGTGGTTTTGATTTGCATTTCATTGATGATTAGTGATGTTGAGCATCTTCTCATGTGCCTGTGGGCCATCTGTATGTCTTCTTCAGAAAAATTGTCTATTCAAGTCCTCTACCCATTATTTTTTTTTAAACGTTTTTTAAAAAGATTTTTTTTATTTATTTGAGAGAGAGAGAAAGCACAAGAGGGGGAAGGGTCAGAGGGAGAAGCAGACTCCCCGCAGAGCAGGGAGCCCAATGTGGGGCTCTATCCTGGGACTCCAGGATAATGACCTGAACTGAAGGCAGACGCTTAACTGACTGAGCCACCCAGGCACCCTCTGTGCCCATTATTTAATTGGGTTGTGTTTTTTGCTGTCAAGTCGTATAGGTTCTTTATATATATTGGATATTAACCCCTTATCCGATGTATGATTTGCAAATATCTTTTCCT